ATTTCTGTGAACAGTTTTATGACTTTTACTTGAGTAGTTTTCTAATCAGTGAAATTTGTTTTTACCAAAATCATTTTCTGTTAAAGTAATTTTACTTTTACTTAATTTGTATTTTATAAACCTCTGGTAAAAAACTGACAAACATTGTTTTATTCTTTCCACCTCTCAGACAGACTAAGCATAAAGTGGTTAAATGTTTGTATTTTAAATAGGGATGCACCAATWGGAAAATTTAAGCTGATATAATTATTGCTGTTTTGGCCAATGGCCGATATTTATGGTTATTACACAAACACAAAATATTTATATACACATACGCACAAACATATTTGTGTCTTTTTTTTTTTCAATATAAAGAAAGACGAGCAGACCTCTGACATGACTGATTCAGTTATTTCTGGCTGCACAGCATCATCATGATCAAACAGATCCCACTCCACCAACCATCTCCCCTCCCAAAACAGAAAATAAAAAGTGTGAGATCAATATCTGACATTAATATCAGCMCAGTTTTACTTATTGAACCAATACAAATGTTAATGCTGATAAACTGTGCGTCTCTAATTTTAAAACAAAAAGGTGAGTTTCCTTCAGACCGCCGCTCTCATGTTGCTTCGGCTTCTTTTTATCTCCAACTCCAGCTGAGTGATCCTTATCTGCAGGAAACAACCAGACAGGAATCTGATCAGTGGATGTAAAAAAAACAAAAATCTAATTATTGTCTTAATTTCTGGACCTTCAACAACTTTTTTTTGTTCCGCTCTCAGAGGAGTAAGACGCTTTTTCCTTCTCTCCTGCCCTTCCCTATCTTCCCTGCTTCACTGCTTGGAGCCTTCTCTACATTTTTCATCCAAAACCAGGAATTATGTATTTTTTAAATGGATTTGGTTAGCTGGTCTCTCAATAAAACTTTTGGAACTAAGTTTTTTCTTCTTCCATGGGAGGACAAGTCAAGGTGGGRCCTCTGTTCTTCTCTGTTCTGGATATATGTCTGGACCCCGATCACTGGTTTCTGCAGATTGGTTTGGTGGTCTCCTGGTGTTCTACAAAACAGCGTCGGTGGCTTCTCACTTTCTGGCTGACTGACCAACTGTATGTGTGGCTGTATTCTATCAGCACTCGGACATTGTGCCTTGAGCGAGCTGGACTCGGTCTGCGAGCAGTTCTATTGAGGGTTGCGGGCCGGCTGTGGTCCCTGGACTTTGCTGACCAGATGGAACTGATCTTGGAGAAGCTGATGGATCGGTTCGGCGGAATTTGTCCACATATTTTTTTGTCTGATTGGATTCGCCACCTTGAGATGCACCAGCAGAACTCTAAAGCAGATGGAAAATTGTTATTCATCTGTCTGTCTCTTTCTGTTCCCGAAACAACTGATTACAGGATCTGAATCTCCCCGACAACGACCTTGATCTGTTGACTAAATTCTTCCTGGCTGGATATGTTGACAAGGCTCAACCCCACACCTCCCTCTCTCCTCTCTCACCCGTGTGATTCTGGTCTCCTGAGCTGTCATGGTTTGTCATTTTATGCCTTGGTTTTTCCTAGTGTTTCTATGTTCCCCTGTGTGTCTCTGCTCGGCTGCCCCACATCACTCTGCTGATTACCCTTGTGTTTCTCCCCAGGTGTTTTCTGTTCCCTCATTAGTTTTCTGTGTATTTAAGCTCAGTCTTGTCTCTGTCTCATTGTCGGATCATTGTTCTGTGTACTTGGTCATGTCCTGTCCCACCCATGTTCTCCGTCTACCTCCAAGTCAAAGTGAATTTTGCTGTATTTTCAGCCTCCCTGGGTTTTGCATTAAAGTCCTTGTGCTTTTTTGATTTTTGACATCTGCCTGTGCCCTGGGTTATTTTGTCGGTCCTGACATAATGATCCGACCACGCACCCAGCCCACAGGCACCCCGTTTTCGGGAGTGCCTGTGGAGGAGCAAGATTTTTTTTCTTGCCGCCCCTCGGCGCGCCGGTCTTTCTCCTCTCACTGTTGGAGTCCACCAGCATCACCTGGGCCCGCCTCAACTGCTCTTCCTCCTTCTGCCCTTGAGAAGCCGGTCCCTYCCTTTCCCCCCTGGGAGGAACAGGTGACAACCCCCATCATTGGAGGGTCAGTGAAGATCCTCAGGGGTATCTCAATGCGCTCCAACAGATTCTCCATCAGCCGGCAGATAGAACGTGTTCTGGGGGAGCGCCCAGATCTGCTCCTCCTGCCAGGCCATCAGCTGCTCCACCGGTTTGTGAAGAGGGTTTTGGGGGAGTCATCTGGTACCCACCCCCCCCCACCCCTTCTGCTCCTCCTGCGCTGGTTGTTAGGGTTCCTGAACCAGTGTTTCTGGTTCCAGTTCCGGTGGTTCCTGAGCTGGTGGTTTCTGAGCCAATGGTTCCTGAGCTGGTGGTTCCTGTTCCGGTGGTTCCAGTTCCAGTGGTTCCTGAGTTGGAGGTCCTGGTGGTTCCACAATCGGTGGTTCCACATTTGGAGGTCCTGGTGGTTCCACAGCTGGTGGTTCCACAGTTGGAGGTATTGGATCCACAGTCGGTGGTCCCACAGTTGGTGGTCCCAATGTCTCCGGTGTTGGCGAGCCCCGAGTCAGCGGTCTCTGAGGTTTGTGAATCAGCTGCCGGCTCCTCCACGACATCTGGGTCAGCTGCCGTTGTCTCCATGTCACCTGGGTCGGCTGCCGTCGCCTCCATGTCGCCTGGGTCGGCAGTCGTCGCCTCTTCGTCCCCTCTGTCACCTGTGTTCGCCGTCGCCAAGGCTCTGGCTCCATCAACCTCAACGGCTCCACATCTGCTCCCGTCTCCCCCCTTTGCCCCACTTCTGCTCACGCCTCCTCCTGGGGCTCAACGTCTGCTCCTGTGGGGCCTCGCCATGGAGGGTTCCCTGGCCATCCCCCTGGACTCTTGCCTTATGTGGGATGGTTCCCTGGCCGTCCCCCTGAACTTTCATGTTTTGTCTTCGAGTTCTGTCTTGTCACGTCTCCCATTGTCCCGTGCCTCTCCTTGTTGATCGTCTGATGAAGATCGTTAAGAGGGAGTTACTGTCATGGTTTGTCATTTTATGCCTTGGTTTTTCCCAGTGTTTCTATGGTCCCCTGTGTGTCTCTGCTCAGCTGCCCCACATCACTCTGCTGATTACCCTTGTGTTTCTCCCCAGGTGTTTCTGTTCCCTCATTAGTTTCCTGTGTATTTAAGCTCAGTCTWGTCTCTGTCTCATTGTCGGATCATTGTTCTGTACTTGGCCGTGTCCTGTCCCATGTTCTCYGTCTACCTCCAAGTCAAAGTGAGTTTTGCTGTATTTTCAGCCTCCCTAAGTTTTGCATTAAAGGCCTTGTGCTTTTTTGATTTTTGACATCTGCCTGTGCCCTGGATTATTTTGTCGGTCCTGACTTGAGCAGGCTGAAACCCATACAGAATGAACAGTTCCATCAATATTCTGAACTTTGGCTGTGTTGGTTTAGGGGACTGGATTTTCCGGGCCCCACTAAACTCACTTACTCCTCTGGCTAATAAATCTGCCCTACGCAGAGTTTTTTTTTTTTTTCATAAACGCCATAGTGTGTCACAGTGTTGATTTGATATGATGTTTTTGTTTTTTTCCTCATCTTCCCTTGTGTGGTTTTTCTGGGGGGTTTCTGTTTAAGATGGCGCCACGGTAGGCAGCCTGTTACTGMAGCTCCCGTGTCTTGAGTTACTGTAATGTGCAAATTTCCCCATTGTGGGATCAATAAAGTTTTATCTTATCTTATCTTTAATCTCCTAAATGTGGAGTAAAACTGTATTAAGTGGAAACAGTTTCATCAGATTCTTCATTGTTATATTTTTATGATCCAGTTTCTGGATAAAAACATTAATTATTGGTCCATTTTCCAAAGCTCAGGTCAGTTTGGATATTCAAAACGGTAAAGGTTTTATCTGCTAGTTTCCTTTTTTCACCAACATCTTTCTGCAGCAGCTCCTTCTTCAGCTCTCTGATCTCATCTTGTTGTCTGTAAAACACCTTCAGGAGCTGAAACACAGAGGGTTCATGATCTTTCTTCAGTTTGTGGCTCAGCTGCAGGACCAGAAGAGTGTCTCTGCCTGACCTCTGTCTCGGTGGTGGGCGGGGGGTTCTCGGTGGGTTCGCAGCAGTGTGGGGTGCAGCGGTAGGTCCACAGTGGGAGCTGGGTCTCGTCGGGCTGCCACCCCGACAGGTCGCTCAGGTCTCTGGGATACTTGGCGTCCTGATAGGCCAGCTGCTCCTCCAGGAAGTCCTTTAAAGACACCAAAGGAGAAACCGATCAGTCCAGAAGTCTACTGAAGACCACACCTTCCACAAGTTCTAGACTCATTTACAAACAGGAAGTCYAACAGGAAACTGGAACTAATGGGGAGCAGAACTGCTAAGAGCTGTTTGGATCCAGGATCTTGAGGACCATAAATTAGAACTGGATTATACGTAGATGGACCAGAACAACTCAAACTTATGAGACCTCAGAACACCAGTCTWCCTTCTCTGTAAGGTCCTGGTTTAATCCTCCACCAGCTGGACTCCTCTGGACCCTCATTGATTCCAGCTCCTTTGACTGGCTTTTGCCTGCGGGGATTTCAGCGTACGGATTTTCAACACGAGTCTCAGGTTTCAGGGACATCAGAACTGGTCCTGATGGAGACATGAGAAGAAAATGGTTGGTGGATCACTAAGAACGCTGAAACCAGGTCAAGGTGTTACAGACCCCTGTTGATCCCCTGCAGCCACTCCTGAGCCGTCAGAGCCGGCTGGTCTCCGGCAGTCATCGGGTACAGGTCCTCCTGGAAAACGGTCGACTGAGGGTCCAGAACATGACGTTAGATTAAAGTACTTTGGATTATATTGGACTTTTGTATCAGTCAGAACCTGTTTTCGTGGTATGACCATGGACAGAGGTTCCACCAGGTCTTTGACGGGAATCAGACGATAAAACCGGAAAACTTCACAGGCACTGACATCGAGGCCACGCTTCGGCATCACCCCTGGAAGACCAAAATAAAAACTTAGACCCAACTTTATTTAGCTTTTGTTAAGATGTTATTAGGTTAATATTGCTCCAAAGCGTGTCCTTCTGTTTGCACTTGAACCACTGATTCAAGATGGCCGACACAGCTAATGACCAGAAAACTGGTTGTAACAGTTGGATTGATGTGGGTTTTTAGCGTGTTGATCTGACCGAGGCCTTTCTGGGGCAGCAGGGATYTGAACTCTGTCAGGAAGCTGATGTAAGGTTTTTCAGAGCTCAACTCGTAGCACCGGATGTTCCCGTCACCCTGAACACACAGAAAGGTGGAGTCAACTCCCAACTGTAAAATGTTTAAAGTCTGGACAAAAACATCTGAAATAAATCAGCTCTGAGGTCACGTCAAACATCATTTATCAGCAGAATTGATGGTTTTTGGCCCAACGGTTAWGTTATCTAACATTTTCTAACCTTTCCAGCCAAGTAGAGCAACTGTGTGTCCTGGTCGTAGAACGGGAAGAGGACTCCTGCAGATCCATCAAGATCCTCTTCAAACAGAGGCTCAGACAAGTTGTCCTGCAAAGAGACAGGAAGACATTTAAGTGAAATGGTCCAAAGTCCAAGATGGAACCACTGAAACCTACAGAACCTGTAAGGTACAGTGGTACGGAGCGATACTTTTAGGGGACGGGGGTGTTGTGGGGGGATATCCTGATTTACTTTTACATAATCCTAACAAAGGTTCTCATGATGCTAAGAATTTATTTATTTATTTATTTATTTTTGCATGATCCTGAGAAACCTTTACAAGATCCTGGGAAACCTTTACAGGATCCTAAGAAACCTTTACAGGATCCTGGGAAACCTTTACAGGATCCTGAGAAACCTTTACAGGATCCTGAGAAACCTTTACAGGATCCTGGGTAACCTTTTCAGGATCTTGGGAAAACTTTACAGGATCCTGAGAAACCTTTACAATATCCAGAGAAACCTTTACAGGATCCTGAAATACATTAGTATGATCCTGAGAAACCTTTGCATGATCCTGAGAAACCTGTACATGATCCTGGGAAACCTTTATAGGATCCTGAGAAACATTACAGGATCCTGAGAAACCTTTACAGGATCCTGAAAAACCTTTACAGGATCCTGGGAAACATTTACAGGTTCCTGGGAAACCTTTACAGGATCCCGAGAAAACTTTATCCTGAGATACATTTGCATTATCCTGAAATAACCTAAATACTGTTACTATTAAATAAGTTTCATGTTTTCAGAATTTCAGGAGATGTTCATTCTTATAAAAGTAAAAAATAACAGATTGTCTCACGGGGTCCCAGAGGACGATCTGTCTGTGGTTCCAGGACGAGGTCCCGGTGGACAGAAGCATCTTCAGCCCTGTGACGTATAAAACCTTGTTGGCCTTGTGGGTCTTCTTGTTGGACACCTGCAGAAAGACGAGGCTCCATCACTGCCGGTTCCACCGGGTGGAACATTTAAACCAAATGAACGCCTCAGAGCAACACCTGGAGAATCTGTCCAGCCCGCGGGTCCAGGACTCGGACCCGTCGGTCTCTGGAGGTGACGGCCAGCCTGCTGCCATCGCTGTTGAAGCTGACGGAGAAGAGCAGCGCCTCAGATGGGTATCGGTGTTGGACGGGCATCAGGACCACTCGGGCTGGACATCTGATCACTGACTCGGACCGGGACACGTCCCAGAGCAAGACCTGGACCAGGAGACAAACTCAGGTCTGATCTGGATGAATAAATGTTTCATATTTGTAGGTGGAGCCGTTTTACATCTTAGTCTCCGTTTTGWCCGGATTTTCTAACAAAAACACTGAAATACCCAGCTGCACCACTAGARGGCGAGAAAGACCACCTTACAGAAGAATAATGTTAAATTTTCACAGAGTTTCCTCAAACTAATTTTGTTTCTTAAATATTGTTTGAAATTTTTTAATTTTTCAGGAAATTTCGTGTTTGATGGTAACAGCATCAGGATAAAGTGAAAAATGTTTAAAATTTAAATGTTTATTTCCTTGAAAAC